AATCATTAATTAGAGACAGAACGGAATCAGCTTTGTTTCTCCCCACCCTATTCCAGCTGCCAGACTCCAAGTAGCATGTGCTACTGATCGCTCCAAGATGTTTTCCCACCGGAGTCCAGCACTCCTAGGGCAGATAGGCTTCCCAGCAGCGCGGCCACTGCTGTACCGGACAGGGTGCCCTGTCACAGGGGCAGGGAGGGGAGCATAAAGCTACGGGAAAGCCAGGGGGAAGCTGGGACACACAAATCCGACATGGAAACAAGGGATCATCCCCACTGCTAAGCCCCTGGTTTACAGGGGGCAATCCAAACAGCTCCGGATGGATGTCATGTGAAGGGCTGCTCATGCACTCTGACTCTTTGGGACCCCTGTGATCCCAAAAAACATGGACAGGGCTTGGGAGGGCCCTAAGCCCCCAGTGAAGCTGTTTGGGGGAATCCTCAACCCTCCCAGCCACACCACCGAAGGCACAAGCACATCCTGCCCTGCCACATTCAGCCCGTTTGGGACAGGGATTCAAGGGAACAGCTTAGACCCCAAAAGGACTGCAGGAGCTCAGGTGCAGCATAGGGAAGCAGCCCTATGAAGTTAATGAAGTCATTCCCAACTGACCTGCAAGGAGCCCTGGATGCTCCTTTCCCCCCTCAGCACAGGGAGAAGGGGAAGGCCTCCAGTGAAACGTGGGCTGGGCACAGGGGCTCTGCCTTGTGGGGAGCAGGAGCAGGGAGGGCTCCCACAGAGCTGGCACCCAGAAAAGTGTCTCCCCGTTCTAGAGGGAAACTCCAGCTGGAAAGCAGGCTGTCCAAGCTTGCTTTGCTCAGCCCAGACTTCGGAAATGAAGCAAAGCCCTGGAAAGGCCAAGGTGCACATGAGGGCCGTGGGATTCCTGATGGGAACACAGAATCACAAGTTCTGGAATGGTTTAGGTTGGGAAGGGACCTTAAAGCCCACCTAGTTCCACTCCCTGCTATGGGTAGGGCACCTCCCACTAGCTCAGGTTGTTCCAAGCCCCGTCCCTGGCCKCAGACACTTTTAAGGATGGGGCAGCCACAGCTTCTCTGGGCAACCTGTGCCAGGGCCTCACCGCCCTCAGAGGGAAAAATTTCTAACCAATATCCAATCTAAACTTCCCATCTTTTCAGTTTAAAGCCAWTCCCCACCTCCCAGCCTCAGGAAGGGGGAGTCTCCCCACGCCAGAAATGCCTTTTAATTAAAAATAAGCAGTGATTTTTCCCTATTTCCCAAATCCTGACGCTGCGAAGCGCCTCCTGCGCCCACGGCTCCCGTAATTTCATTCCATCTGCTCTGACAAGTGCAAGCCCCCCGCTCCAGAGCTCCAGGCCAGCCTTTCCCCTCGGAAACAGCCTTCCCGCAAGCACTTTGTCCCTCGTAAAACGGCATTAAAAGAGGCAAAGATCCGCCAGGCTTCAACCCCGGCGCTGACAGAATTCCATAGGACACCCTCATGTCATTAAAGGCAGAATAAAAATACCATGAAGGATTAGACTTTTGTCTCAGGTTTTTTTCCCTCTTTCCCTCACCTTTTTTTTTTTTCTTAAATAAATGCATTTATTTTGTTTTTAACAAGTTTGGAGCTCAGCAAACTTTCTGGAAGGGGAAGAAGGAAAAGCAGAGGCGAAAGGAGCCGTTCTCCGGAGCCGTATGGATGATGTGTCCCATTTCCCCCACCTCCTTATTAAAATACTTTCTGGGGAGGCAAATTCCAGCCTGAAATGAATTTTCCAAACCATATTTTATTAGGAATGCTTCCCTTTGACGGTCGGTACAGGAGCCCACCAGGGTCAATATTTCTCCCAAATTACAGCCAAGGGAGTTGAGAAAGGATTTAGCCAGAATTCCACCGGCAATTCCTGGCTGTCCAAGGAGAGCACGCTCCCACCGCCCCCCGGCTGTGCAGCAAAGGGGACGAGTAAATCCCAAAAGCACTTTCCCCAAAGCCCCCCTTGGACACGGTGGAATAAATTAAAGCCATATTGCCTCTCCAAGCCCCCTTCCAAACGGCTCCACAGGCATCCCAGGGAAAGCTCACTCAGAGGGTGAGCTCATCCCCAACACAGGTTTGAGACAAYTATCACTTTTTCCAACAAAACCATTCCTAGGCCTGTTTTTTCTCCCTTTCAAGACCCAGCATCCCCACAGTGGGAAGTGGATGATGATTTCACTGCTGGCTTTGGGACACACACCCAGGAGACGACGGGAAATGCTTCCCAACCCAGCACACAGCTTAAGCCTGACTTAACTCGATTAGGAAATCATTCCATCTATCGGATGTGTAATCAGCATCCCTCTGATAACACCAGGAGTCCTAGACCTGCTGGTGGAGCTGGGAGCCCACARCTCCCAGCTGCCCAGAAAGGGCAGGAAAATATTTTCCTTATTTACAGCAATTGTGCTGAGTGCGGCCGGGCCCAGAGCRCCACGCTTGCTCCTCGGATCCGTTGGAAAATTCCACTTAGCCATGTTATTTTTAAAGGCTTTAGCTCTCTTTACTCTAAAAACAAGAGTTAAAACTCAGCAGAGCGGGATGGGGGCTGGCACAGCCCCGGCATCGCCCCAGGAAGGAGCTTGGAAGCCCAAGGTACAGTGGCAAAGGGTTTTTATTGATCTATCCGGAAGAAAATCCCAGTCCAACCAAGAGCACGATTCTTCCTCCAGCTGGAGCCGGACTTTGCCCAGCACACCAATCCCCAGACTGGTTTCCTTCACTGGATTTGCTGGGAGCGGCCATGYGGAGGCTCTGCCCGATGCCACGCAGCCGGCAAAGCTCAGAGCTGGGAAAGAAAGGGACGGATCCCAAAGACGGATCCCGGACATGAGGATCCGGGGTCACTCCACACGGGCACAGACTGGAGGGATCTGAGTGGGATCAGGCCAGGCCCCAATAGTCCCCGCTAAGGCAAAACACTTCCATGGGTTTTGCCCGTGCATGTCCCAGCAGAGCCATTCCTGGGTGGAAACGCCGGCGTTTCGGGTGCTTCCCACTCTCTCCCGTCCCTGTGGAGATACTGGGATGGGGATGCACCCATGGGAGCAGCCCCTATGGCACATTCCCAGAAAGCTGTGCCCAGGGTGGGCAAGCTCCAAATCTGGGGAACACTGAGAGCACACAACCCCCAAACTCCAAATTCCCGGAGAATGGAGAGTGGGTAACCACTGAGCTCCCAAGTAGGGGAGAACTGAGAGTGAAAAAGCAGCAAACTGCAAATTGAGTGGAAAAGCAGCAAGCTGCAAACTGCGGGAAAAGCGAGGGCAGASAAACACCAAGATCTGAATTTACGGAGAACCAAATGGGCAACCACTGAGCTCCAAACTGGGAGAAAACTGAAAGCAGAGAAACTCCGAGCTCTGAATTGGGGGAAACCACGGATGGACAACCCAAATCCTCAAATTCACGGAGAACTGAGAGTGGGCAATCACCAAGATCCAAAACAGGGGAAAACCAAGGCTGGACAACCTCTGAGTGCTGAACTAGGAGTGAACCAAAGGCAGAAACTACGGAGATCCAAAAACTGGGAGCAGACAACCACCAAGCTCACAGTCCAAGAAAACCAAGGAATGCCTCGAGTTCTCCCCGGACACCCCCACCAGGGAGGGCCATCTCCAAGCCCACCAGTTTAGGATTCAGTGGAAATCCTGGTGTGTCACCCTGTACCAGCCGACAGCCACAGCCTCCTCCCAACTTCCCAGGCCTTGGCAACTTAAGGAAAACCCAGGATAAAGGAAGGGAAACGGGGTGACATGGCATCCCCCACCACCGAGCCGGAGCCGCTTCCACCTCCAGCTGCCTTTCCCCAAATAAAAACTGTATTTTCTGGAACCAATTTGCCTGCCCTTCGCCAAGCTCACSAATCCAGCGGGGCAACTCCCGAGGGAAAAGGCTCTCTCTGCTCCCAGCCAACTGACACAACTCCCAAAGAAAGGAAAGAAAAATACACAGAGGAGAACGAAGTGACGGAGCCGCCGTCCCGGCACTTCCAGAACGGGGGACAGGCAAAGGGTGCATGCAAAGTTCCTTTTTCCTCCCCAAGAAGCCAAGCCACTTGGTTGGAATACGTGTCCAGGCAGGAAGGTGATCCAAATCGTTTCGGTTCTTTCCAGCCCTCAAAAACTCTTTGGATTATTTTTGGGTTTTTGGATTTTTTTTTTTCGTCTTGAGAAGTGTGGTGGGAAAAAAAAAAACCCAGGCTAAAAGCAGGAATTTTTTTTTAAGGGAAAAGGGGGTAAAAATAAATAAACATTCTGTAATCTACAAGATAAAGCTGAGCAAGAGCCACCAACCCATCTTGACCACCAGCCCCGGGGCAGGGGCGACCAAACACCCACCACTCTTCCTCCTCCTCGCCCTTCATGTTGTTCCTACACAGCAGCCGCGTCCACATCCACAGATTTATATAAAAATATATRAATTTAGAGAATTGAGGTGTCTGTACAGGCAGAGAAGCCCCAGCGCCCGCTTTGTTCGGACCCAGCCCGAGGTGGGGGCGGAACGACTCCCCTCGCCTTCCTCCGCGGCTGATTTCGGATGAGAAAACCCAGAAAAAAATATATTAAAAAAAAAAAAAAAAGATAATAAATCCAAACGCTGGAGGGAAGCGGCGATCCGGGGGAAAGAAAAAAAAATGAGGCGTGAAAAATTTAAAAAAAAAATAAAAATCAAGACACAAAACGTGGTTTTCAAAAATAAAAACTGATTTCAAGAGAGGAAAAGCTGCGAGAAGTAAAAGCATTGTTAAAAACGGGGGGGGAAAAAAGGAAAGGAGATTTTTTTTTTTTGGTACGAAAAGCAGCGCGGCGCCGCGGGTCCGTCCTCAGCCGGGGGTCGCTCCGTCCGCCGCCCGCAGCCTCCCGGTGCGATTTTTCCTTAAAACCTCGCTGTTTCCGTTAAATTCGCATTTAGAATGAGGTTTCGGTGCCTTTTTCCCCGCGGGGGGTGCGAGGCGCGTCCCTCCCGACCCCCCCCCTTGTCTCGCCGCACGTACTTGGGGTTCGCGGAGCTCCACGACACCGGCTCCAGGCTCTTGGCGAGCGGCGCGGCGAGGCGGCACAGGGCCAGCAGGACACCCAGCAGCCACCGCCCGCCGCGGGGCCGCGCCATCGTCCCTCGGCGGCGGGACGGGCCGGGCGTCAGGCGCCCATCACGCTCCGCCGCCGCCTCCTCCCGCTCCGCTCCCGACCCGCCGCCTCCGCCCGCCCCGCACCGACTGAGGCGCCGCCCGCCGCGGCAGCCGCTCTACCCCTCAGCGCAGGCAGCGGCGCGGACAGCCCGGACCGACGGCCAATGGCTGAGAGGAGCGGGGGGGGCCTTGCGGGAGGGCACGCCCATTGTGGGTTCCGAAGGGGAGCGCGGAGGATTTTTCCTTTTTTTTATGCCCCCCACCGGTGGCTTCCCGTTGCTACCGCGTTACCGGGGGCGGTGAAGAAGGGACAGCGTCGGGGACGAGCTGGCAGAGCCCCGGTGTGGGCGCTCCGCCGGCCGGTGTCCATCCCCGACGAGCCCATCRCCCCCCCGCTGCGCGCCGCGCTTGGCCTCGCCCGCCCGCTCAGCCGCGATCCTACAGCGCCCCCCAGCGGTCGCCGCCCGAAGCGGCGGCGGGGCCGGAACGGAACCGAAATATTCCCTAAAATCCCCGAATTGGGACGGGTTCAAAGGGTTTGGGCGCTTTGGAACTTTATTCAAGCGGATTGGAAGGCGTTTAACTATCCGATTTTTTTTTTTTAAATTTTATTTAGGTTTCTCTAAATTTGTAAAAATTTTTTTCAACGGTTTTTCAAAAATTTTGTTCATTTTTTCGGACTTTTTTGCCATTTTTTAAAAAGATTTTCCACTTCTTGGACGTATTGGAAGGTTTTTAGAGATTTTTAAATATTTTTACTTTTTTCCCGTTTTTTTTTAAAATGTTTCAATATTTGTGGATTTTTTTTTGAGGTTTTCTTAAAAGATTTTTTTAACTTTTAGAGATGTTTTAAGGGTCTTTCAGGGTTCTTTTTTACTTTTTAACTTTTTCAGGTTTTTTTAACTTTTTAACGTTTTCAGATTTTTTAAATTTTTTTAAAAAAATTTTGAGGATTTTTAGAAGTGTTTTTCGACTTCTATTACTTTTAAAATTTTTTTTTACTTCTTCAGGAATTTAAAAAATATTTTTCCTTTTATCAGCTTTTTTAAAGAATTTGGTTATTTTTTTACTTTTTAAGATGGTTTTCTAAATAATTTTTTTTCCCAGATTTTTTTTTGTTTGTTTTTCAACTCTTTTGAAGTTTTCTTTCTTCGTGTGTTTTTGGAGTTTTCTGATTTTTTTGGTTTTTTTAGTACTTTGGGAGTTTTTGCTGTTTTTTTTT